AGGGAGCTGGATAAGGCTGGGAGCAGTTACTGTCTGTTGCTTCAGATCAGGCAATTTTCCACCTTAACTGATCTCCCTCTGGCTATGTTTATGGATGCCTTCTGTTTAGGTTTCCTGGGGTATTCRGGGAACTCACCTAGCAGCCTTCTGCCTGCAGTATCCACCATCCCAGAACTGGATCTCTATGTTTCTGAATATTCAGCAGCTTCTCTCCAGTATGGCCCCATGATCAAGGGCAGAGTCCCTAGGCTTCCCACAATGCCAACCCCCAATGTCAGCGGCCAAAGTGATGCAGTCCTGATTGATCCACTTTCCTCTGCTCAAAGTCATTGGTGCTCTGTCACTGTCTGGGTTAAGTGAAAGCTGTTTGTGTACATCTTCTTTGGAAAATGACCCAGTCAAATCCTTTGTCAATTTTTCAACTTTTTGTTTTGGTCTTTTGTTGTTGAGTTATAGGAGTTCTTTATATAGTTTTATATTAATGAGATATATGACTTTAAGAGCATTACTTTTTTCCCCCATTTATTAATCTAGAACATTCAAGGACAACTTTTTTCCTGTTGGAAAGATAACAAATGATTGCGATGAACTGGTTAATTCAAACTCGGATAGTTTTTCTGTTCAAAACTCAGAAGTAAAAACAAACACTGATATTAATGAGGTAAGATCCTGTTTGAAAAATATAAACATTTTTGAATTATAAGTTTTGGAAGTAAAAATGTGATTTATGATTATTGTTCACACTTCCTTATTCAACACACCAAACATATACATATGCCCCTCATACCATTAAAAAGTATTTTAATGTGTAAGTTTAGTTACAACTTACCACTTAAAATTTATTACCCTAGATTAAACATMCTATTAGTTATATATTGTCACCAGCATGGTAACATATCTGTTAAATTAGGTTTTGAATGGCATTAAAGTGGAGACGAATCTGAGAAAAATATATGCCCCAATATTTGAAGTAAATCTACACTTGAGAACTCCTTCTGAGAGTTATTCTCCAGAAAATTCTCAAGAGAACTTTCCTGAGACTGACCAGGGCCCTGAAAAATGTATGACATGTGAAGAAGATGAAATGTCAGAAAATGAATATAATGTCAAAAATGACTTAAGTGAAGAACTGCTCCCAAAAGCCAAGGAACCACAAATGTTTTCTTATAACTTTGAAGACATTTCAGGTAAGACAAATGAGACATTAACAATGAGGGTAAATACATTAATAGCTGGAAAATAATATGTAAGAGAAATTTATTTATGAATTATCAGTTTATAGATTATTATTTTTATAAATTTTAAGATAAACAGATAGTGCCAAAAATGAGCAGTGAATGTATAGMTCATTTGTGGTGCAAGTAAGTAATAATACCATATTCATTTTCATCTCATTACATGAGCAATTTTGGGCATGGTGGCAAATGCCTATAACCTCACTGACTCAAAAAGCTGAAGCAAAAGGATCACAAGTTCAAGACTAGCCTAGGCAACTTTGTGAGAACATGTCTCAAAAGTATAAAGGGCTGAGGATATAATTCAGTAGTAGAATCCTCCTCACCCCAGAATTGAATCTCCAATACCACAAGAAGAAGAGAAAAAAAGCCAATCAGTTTCTCATTGAAGGGATTAAAGGACTCTCTTCATCAGGATAGATACTACCTGGAAGGAGAAGTAACTCAGTGGTTGAGCATTTGCCTAGCATGCATGAAGACCTGGGTTCCATCCCCAAAACAGCTAAAAAAAAGAAAGTTTTTAAAGTTTCAAACTCTTGGACTCCAGAATCTGGGCTGGAGTGTGCTACTTGAATAGTGCCTTTCAGATGACCACTAGAGTTCTTTCTTAGGCTATTTGGAAAGCACTGACACATATCAAGTTGTCATTTAACTGTTATAAATATCAATCAATTTTTTTAAAATTMTCTCATTCTTTCAATTGAAATCACACAGAAACTACGATTGATTTGGAGAATAAAAACTTGAATGATAAGTAAGTATCAGACATTTTTTGACATTATGAGTAATTGTATTTTGTTAATTACTATATTCTCCTCAAATATTCTTTTATTTTTTTCTTAGAGTTCCAGAATTCCCTACAAATCTCCTTATAGATCCCAATAGATTAGAGTTTTCAATAAAAATCCAAAATATGGTGAATWCTATGGAAAACTATATAAGTAAGTATTTAACAGTTTAGTCTTCTTTGGCAATATTGGCTTGAATTTAAGCATCTGATGCTCTTTCCCAGAGACATAGCAGACATAGAGTATGAGAAGATCATAAATTCACAATTTTGGGGATCAGTATGAATTTAGAATTATTTGAACATGTRTGAATCATCCATACAGCCACAGAGTRCATAAAAGATAAGGATTGGGAAAATAACCCAAGGCTTAAATTTTTCAGTTATGCATTATAAAATTTTATGACACATAACAAATAGAAAGTATTTTTTATGTTATAATATAAGATACTTTTTAATAATTCTTTTCTAGCTGTGTGTACACAATTTGAAATTACATGGTAACTACTTAATTCCTAGCCTGACAAAGAATTTAAAAGGATTTTAAAACAGCTCCTTAAGTGTAATGTTTGTTTTCCCATCATGTGACCACACTTTGCTGAGTTCAGATGAAAAAAAAAAAAAGGCCCTCTTTAAAGGGGAAGCTGGTATCTCCTGCATTATTTGATTTCTTTCTTTCTTTCTTTCTTTCTTTCTTTCTTTTTTTTTTCAAGACCCAGGAATCAGTCTTTTTCATTGTGCTTTGTAACTACCACTACCTATTAAATTTCTTCTTTCTCAAAAACTGGCTGAAATGCAATCATTATGTCCCTTGAAATCTCATACTTAAAGTTTGCATTGTATTCAGATAAAATATACAAATCAAGAAATAACATACAGTTTTAATAATTCTTGCAGTCTATTATGAATCAGCTTGATAGGAGTTTCTTGCTGAATAAAATCCAGAGATGTCACCTTCATGCTATATTGTACAMTTACAGATATTATAGACAGTTGTAGTTGCTTGTTAAGATGTGTCCCTGCCCTAGTATTCTCCTCAGTATTCTGTAGATTTCTCTGCTGTCTTCTAGCTTTCAGTATTATGTTACTGTGGTTTACCTTCCTCTGGGAAAATTTGATTTTTTAGCCAAGTATTTTATTAGTTGAAGTTAGAAACTTTTTTATAATAAAGCTAGAGGTTAATCTTTCTCCCAATTAGTGAGGCTTTTCAGTCCAAAGAATTAAGTTTTTCCTCAAACTTCTCACATGTTCCTTCTTTTTCTTTCTTTTTTWATTTGGTAAAATCTTTATTTATATGCATTTCTTTTACTACCCACATGTCTTAGAAATAAGAACTGGCATATGAAAAKGACTATTAAATTTCAAGACAGTTATTTTCAAGTTTTGAAAATCACAGATATAGTTTGTGAAGGACAATACACCCTCCAAAAGCATGTCCCCTTGTATCATATGCTGCTGTTTCTCCATATAGCAAAATGAAATAAATTTAACATTCTCTGTGGCTGCAAGAGTCTTTAAACCAACTAAATTAACTTTCCCTTCTGCTGACTGTAACTCCTAGTCAATTATCCATCTATTGAAGGGCATCTAASTTGGTTCCACAGTTTAGCTATTGTGAATTGTGCTACTATAAACATTGATGTGGCTATRTCACTGTATATGTTGTTTCTAAGTCCTTTGGGTTTAAACTAAGGAGTGGAATAGCTGGGTCAAGTAGAGGTTCCATTATGAGTTTTCCAAGGAATCTCCATACTGCTTTCCAGATTGGTTGCCCCAACTTGAAGTCCTACCAGCAATGTATGTGTGTGGGGAAAAGCCACATCCTTGCCAACACTTA